ACCCCTCAGAGCAGCTTGAATTGTCATACTGGTATTTCATTTTCCATCTTCTCCTCTGCAGATTTGCAATATGCATGAATAAATTAGCAAGTGGGAGAGGTATATTGACTTCCTGTGGTTTGTAGTACTTCATTTTCCTCCTCTGTGTAACAGGGAAAAAACCGAAGTGTTATTAAAATTCTGGCAAAAAAATGTTATTACATGAAGGGTTCAAAGATACCGCATGATGAAACAGGTCAATAGTAGGATAGAAAGAAAAGAATCACAGGCGTGCTTCTTATTTGAAACTAGCCTAGGAACAAAAGCAGCAGGTGTCCTTTGAATGTGGAAATCAGTGACAAAACCAAGCAGTTTGTAGCTGTGGGCTTTTTATTTAGGACATGTTAACAAATCATGTAGTTGTGAGTATGCATGTGTGAAATACAAAGAGTAAAAACATGTTTCTTAGATCCATGATTATAGATAATGAGCATATTCTGCTGAAGTATTTTCTGTAACCCACTATGCATTTCTGCAAACATGTCCATGGTGCCTGTTAATCACTTAGGAAGCCTTTCATAAATCCAGCATTACTGCAGTGTGGCAGCCCCCCCTTTTTTTTTCTACCCTTGCTGTCTTTTTATTTAGTTCTTAAGATACCCACAAGAAATTATGCTATATTTTTCCCGTTCTCCTACTCCAATTCTCAGCATTCAAAGGAAAAAACTATAAATGCAGCTAAACAATTGGTTAATATTACTAAATGTCAAATACTAAAAAAATAAAATTTCCAAATATTTAAGTTTATATTAAAAATTTGGGAATGTCTGTTTGCACCTGACTTATCTTGGTATCTAGGCTATCCAGTGCTCTGAAGTCTTAATGGCTCTCTTGCCTTGTGTTTCATTGAGGCCCCTGCTCCTGCTGTTTCCAAGGTTCCAGCACTACTTCTGTAATTCTTTGGACTTCCTCCAGCTGTTTAGAAGATCTTTGCTCCTTCCTTTTTTTAACTTTGGATTTCACAGATGTTTCCCCGAATTTCTCCTTTTTTCCTCTGTTCTCACCTCCTCTTTTTTTTATTTTTTTCCTGATAATATAATTAGATCTGCCTGTCAGCCATTTTCATCTCAACTAAGAGTTTTAGGACTTCATGGCAGTTTTTATATCCTTTTGGATGTTTCTGTCTTTAAACTGGTATGATGCAAGGGCTGAAGAAATCTTTCTCTGAATCCCTTTAAATTGTTCGTTATTCCTCTCCAACTCACAAATCCACTTTTTTGTCTTTCAGTGGAACTTTTTGGATTGTGTTTCTTTGCTTGTCTTCACACATCAGATTTTGCCAATTTTGTCATCCATTTCCTGTAAGATCTGCACTTCCTCCCTCTCCCATTTCCAAGGGTTTACTGTGTCTCGTATGCAGGGCTGCAATTACCTTCATTCTACTAATAAATGTAACCTTCAGAATAATTTTTATTACGTTGGTAACGACACTTAAGACTGGTAGAAGTATTAAGCAGGGGTGGTCAGACAATTTTTAATTGTACTTTTTAAACTAGTCTTTTCATAACTCCTGCAGTCACCGATCCAGAGAAGAAACTGGCTCTTCTGAACTTTTTCTTGATTCCTGTGCATTGGTCTTCCTTTATTTTTCCTGTAAAATTACTGCTAGTGTGGAAAAGTACTTTCTGAGGAGGTGGTGCATACCACTCTATTTACGGTCGAGGTTGTGGTGACCAGAAATAGTTACCTAAGCTGTCTCTGGGCAGTCTGGTGGGTGGGCAACCCGGTCATGAGGTTCTGGCTTGGTGAATGCGTGAATTGTGAGATGGGTGATTTTACAGGTCAGACAAACTTGCCCTGTTATCCTGCTCAGAATTGCCATCCAGTACTCAGCATTGCTAAAGTTAGTGCAGTTATTTATAGCAATTAATTCAGCATGTAATTTCTCAAATGAGGGCCTAAGTTGGTAAATACGTCAAGAAGTATGAATGAGCAGACAGTTTCTTTAAGTTGTGGTTGCTTCTATGTTACGGTATTAAAGCAGGGACTTGCATAGATTGATAACTGTGCTGTCCTCTGAGTGCTCTTTCATCAGTGCTTTTCTGGGCAAAGCTTTGCCTCGCTATGGTCTTAGCTGTGTTCATTTTTCTCTCTGTTGCTTTACAGATTCTTAAGAATGATTGGCTTTGTAATAGTGGTCAATAGTTGCTGCTCAGTAATAAAACATAGCCTAAAGGAAACCTGTATGATTACAGTTTTATATAATATTGTCCTTACATAATGTGGTTTTAAACTTTAAAGTCAAAGAATGCTTAGAATTTTCAGCAACTTTAACACTGTGTTTCCTGGTTGCCCTTAAATTTAAAATGTTACTTGCTTTTGAAATGAAATATTCCGAGACTACCTTCTGAGCATAGGTGAGTATTTTAGCAATTTTTAAGTCAGACGTTGAAGCAGGTATTTCACTTTATAAAGAACACATCCCTAGTGGCTTTCCTGTTTGTTTGCTTTTAAACAATGCTGTAACTTCAGCACTTGGGAAATTTAACTTAGAACAGCTCAGGGTAGAAGAAATAGTAACAAATGTGATTTTGATTTAATGAAGTTTTGGGGTTGCTTTTTTTTTTTTTTTT